AGTGATGAGGCCAAGATTTGAATCCAAACATGTCTAATGCTCAAGCCTTGGCTCTTAGCTACACTATTATACTGCTTCCATGTGAGAGCTGGCACTGAAACCCTGGAACACACGCATTTGGCTTTACTACTAAAGTTCTAGGTGAGCTGCTTTCTTCTTGTTGATCTTTCCTAATCCTCTGGTCCAATACAGGGCTTACAGAAGCAAGAAAGGTAATCTTGAAATGAGGGCCACCAGAAGCGTTAAAAAAATCTGCTTGGAAGTCCTATAGGGACCCTTATACCATAAAAATACTGTGAAAGAGTCTAGTGTTTTTGTTTTAATGAGAAGCACAAATGAGGGACAGGCAGCCCACATTCTAAAATTAACAGGACCCTTCTCCTACATTTGGTTCAGTTTGCTCTGAGAACAAGAAAGCAGTCTGTGCCAGTGCCATGCTGAACACAGACTGTGCTGCAAAGCTGCAATGCCAGGGCTGCTCCTGTGCTGTGATACAGGCCAGGGAGTGGAGTCCAGCGAACACAGCACCGAGCCTTCTGTTTGAGACAAGTAACAGGTAGAAGAAGAGCTGGCTTCACAGGGTGCTTTACAAGGTGAGGGGACATAAAGGAAGGCTGCAGGGGCAGCAGGAGGGACTGAAGACAGGAGAGTCCCACCCCAAAGTTTACTCCAGTAGAGCCAGTTGGTGGCCCACAATCCTGTTCCTTTCCTATTCAATGAGCATTGTGTCCAGTGGGAGAAAGACAACGCAGGCATCTGAATTCTTATTCTGGCCTACACAGGGATAAGTGCCTATACATTTCAGCAATCTGAGCCTTAAGACAAATAGGGCAGGAGGAACATTTGGGAAAATTGGACCCTAAGGTCATAATGTGCTTTAGACATTCAGGTGGGGCCTCAGAAATAAAAACGATCCCTGGCATTACTTTTGGTAGGGATAAATCTTCATCTACTCCTTGGCTGACTTTGTACTTGGATGCAGGGTGATCTTGATTGGATTATGTAAAAGGTCTAATTTGAGCTGTTATTAAAAATTCTGAAATCCAGAAAAAAACTACTCCAAGGCTTAAAGAAGCAATTTTGTCCTACGTTTAAATCAAATTCTCAGACTTCTAAGCTATCTGCTGACACGCAGGACTGTCCCACTTGACAGTGCTATATTTACAGCCTGAAATGACGATGCTTTGCGTGGTTATTTTTCATGTAGGAAGTCACACTAACACCCCTGAACCACCTGCATATATCTCAAAGCTAACTTTTCCCCTACCAGAAAATGATTCTGTTTAAAACAGAGATCTTGAATGTCAAGGTGTTATAAAAAGATAAAGCTTGCATTCCACATGTTCACAGCCTGCTGTCTGGCTGGGCGCTCAGGGCAGTCTTTCTTGAGCCAGTTTCACTAATGGAAAGCTTGATAAATGCTCACCGCTAGCAGGCTGGAGATTTCTTTTAGGCTCATACTTCTAACCCATTCAAGTACAGAATATCATTATATGGCTTTGTTATGATTAATTTTTCCTAATTTTTCAATTATACACCATTTAGGAGTTAGGAAGCCCATCGTTTTAGCAGTAACTCCCTAAGGCATATGTAAAAATACATGGATTTGGGTCAGGCTTTTGCAAACTAAAGAGCTATACCCCAGGGATGTGGGTTATCTGCTCAGCTGCTCAACCTGGGGAGGGGGAGAGGGGGTAGGGAAGGAGGAGAGGCTCTGTTTCCAGAGCTATAAAATGAAAGGATGGGATTAAAGGATCTACTCAGAATAGGGGGTAGAATGTCCAAGTTTTAACACTGTGAAGTTATCTATTAGAGGTCTCTGCATCACAGACAGGTTGGACAAGCATTTTAAAGTCATTTGACAGTTTTGACATCAGCTTCCTGATGAACCTTCATTATTTTAGAGAAGGAAAACCTAACTAGTTACAAGCTCCTTTTAAAATTTATGACCTTAATAAGTGAGTTGCTAATTAACTTAATGGTCAATCAGAAAGAGTCCTTTCCTCTGGCAAAAAAACATGTAATAACCTTCCATTACCAACATTTATTCTTTAACAGAAAAATGTACATGAAGCATAGATTTGTTAATGAACCAAGAACAAAAAATAATGCTGACATACCTCAATACCTTCATGCTAAACTTAAAAAAAAACCCTGAAGGGATATTGGGATGGTTCTTTGTGCCAGAAAGGATTCTTCGCAGAAAGTTTCACGGTGGTTTCAAGAAGCTCCCTTGAAGAGAGAACTCCTCTAGTGGGTACTTAACTTTCAAGGCAGATATCCACCGTGAAGTAAAGCTCTTCGATATTGCATTTGCTCTAATGTCATATACTTGATAGAGTTACTGAAATTGTTTTAGGGAGAAGGTATAAATTATAAGTAAATGAACAAATATATGTGCTAGGCTTTTAGTCTATGATTGATATCAAAACAGCAACTTGAGTAATTAGATTTTGAAAGTAATTCATGTGAAAGCAATAACAAGCAAAGTTGGGAATCTGCCACTCGATTATTTAATTTATTTTTCCTGCCCTGACTATAAATCAAGACATTCTCGAAATGGTAGGCATAGTAAAGACTGAGTTAAAAAAATTCCTGGAAAATCCAGATTCTAAATGGAAATAGGTTATGGTTGTTGTTTGGTTTTAAGAAATCATTGTGTAGTTTTAATAGAGTTGTTTGGTAACGTGTTTCTGGAAGAAAATTAGTGCTCTATGAGCAATCCAAAAACTTACTAGTGTGTTGTACAGTGTGCCAGCTATTTAATGCTTCCTCGCTGTGTCCCTGATGTGGTTTCTGTCACCACGCGATATTTTGTTTGCACCTGTCTTTTCTGCTAGACTGAACGCTTCCTACCTAGGCAGGGGCCCTGTCTTACTCATTTCTGGTTTATCAGAGGATAAGCACCACCTCATATACAGCAGGTGTGCAACATACAAGGGTGTTGTGTAACTTCCCTACTGTTTTCTAACCCTCCAAATCCTCTCTACCACGTCAAGTTGATTGGTCCTTCAGCACCCATTGTGCCCAGGAAGTCTCCCTGATCACTCAGTCGGATGTGGCAGTTCTCTTCCCCAAACCATAAATCCACCATTGTCAGCAGAGCCTTCTCTTCTAGGATATCAGAATGTGATTCCTTCAGGCCCTCGGCCATACCATATCCTTCTCCGAATATACTGTGGCATCTCTCGCATGGCTCTGCATGTAAGAGGGGTTTAAAAAGTCACTGATGCACTAAACTCAGGATTCTATGGACTTTGGGAATCATCTAGTGTAGTGGTTTCTCATTGAAGGATCTACCACCTCTTAGGAGGCATTTTAAAAAATGGATGGGGCATTTTAAAAATCTATCAAAATGGCTGTGTGTGTGTGGGAGGAAAGGGTAGGACGTTAGATGACTAAAATCACGGGAGTCCCGCACAACAAAGAACTGCCCTGTGTCCTGACCTTTCTCATGTCCTAGACACTTTACATACAAACCCAGAGTATTTTTTGGTGCAGTTTTCCTATGGATTTCCAGGGTTCATGCTGTACAAATTAAGAAAAGATTGTACTTTACGGTGTTCAGAACTTTACCAAGAGTTTTCCACCATTTGGAAAATCACATGGCCAACCACGGCAGTCACTGCATCTGAGTTGACAGCCGCCACCCCGGGTCAGTCTGCATTTCTAGCAGTAGTATTCACAATGATTCCATGTCTGTATGCAAATATATTTATGTAGCTCTTATTTTACATGACAAATATAGAGAAGCAGTGTGCACAACATCCATGTGACGACTGTCTTACTTCTTTTAAGTGCAAAGTGATTCATTATAAGTGGTATGAACATCTGGCTATTTTATTAGGCCTTCTATTTTAATTGCTCCTGATTTCTTATATATATATATATATTTTTTTTTTTTTTTTAAGATTTTTTTATTGGGGAATTGGGGGAAGGGGAACAGACAAGTTGCTGTCCTTTTGTTCTTCAGTCTAGTTGTGGAGGACATTGCTTTACCGGCCCAAGTTGGCACCATCACTGCGCTCTTCCCCAGTGAGGCAGATCAACCGCTGGCTTCTGGACAGACGGCCACTCACGCTGGCTGCTGGCTACATGCGGTAGCCCATGGCAACCCACTGCCACAGGGGCTGCATGCAGTCTATGCCGTCGCCGGCCACTCACAGCAGCCCAGCTCCAGGTTGAGCTGTTGTTCAGCATCTTAGCTGTAGAGGGCAGTGTCACTGGCCCTCATATGTGGGATCCGAACTGGGGCCCTCTGGCGTCCCAAGCCAGTTCTTAACCATCGCGCCACTCGGCCGGCCCTCTTATATTTTTTATTGTACTGAAATTCTGTTTCTAGGTAGATTATATTATCTATAAATTTTATTTTAGGATTTGTTGTAAAAATTGGAGCACTGAGTCAGTATAGTGCTGAGGACCACTGATCTGGTCCATTCCAGTACAGTTTCCTTATTTTACAGGAAGGAAATGGGGCACTAGAGATGAAATGATGCATCCAAGGTCATCCAGTTGATTAAGGAGTAGCCTTTTTTAGATTAATTCACATATAGTTCCAGCTCAAATAATTAACATTCCAGATTCTAACACCCTGGATGATTACGTTCTGACACATAATATAAAATACTACTCTTTAATAATATTTCCTTTTGTCACCAATTACCCCTACCTTATCCCAGCAAAGATATTGAGAAAAAAAATTTCCTTAAACTTGGAATTTCCATTTTTCCTAATGATCCTAATATAGACTAGACCTGTGTTTTTAAGGAAAAATAATCCTCTGACTTAGTGCAGGGCTAGCCTGAGCATTTATTCGTTGGTCCTGTTATATTCACCCCTGCCCCCACCATCCCGCAGGAAGACTGTCTGAAGCCATGTACGCTGCAGAGCAACCTCTCACTTCCAACAATATCAACAGTAGCAATGGCTGCGCCGATAGGTTCCCTGTGCATCCTTTTCTTCTATGTCTTCCTAAGCAACTTTACTTAAAAATTACTGACCTGTGACCCCACGGAGTGCCTTTGAAGGTTCCTCGAGTATTGAGATCTTTTTCTCACGAGGGATAAGGACTGGTTTTTCACTGGCAGAGTCCGTGGATGAGCTGTCCTTCTCACAGCCATTGGCGTGGCCATTTTGTATCTGTGGCGGTGCTGGCTGCTCGGAACCTCCTTCAGGCCTCTCTGCCTTGTCTTTAGCATCTTTGTTGCCTTGATGCTGCTTGGACTTGCTTCTTTTTCTTTTATTGTTCTAGAATGAGAAACAAACGAGAAGACAATATTATTTAGCTCAGGCCTTTGAAATATAAGGCAAAACTGAGAGACCAAGAATAAGATATGTATATTTGTTTTCTGGCTCTTCTAATAGAATGGGTGAAAGCACCTATATCTTTATTAACCATCAAATGAATGCAAACATCTTCCTTCTTACAGTAAGTTGTATAAACTTTTACCTCACAAACATACTAAATAAAAAGTTTCCCCTAATAGAAAAAAAATAGCAGGGAATGGCTAAAATACTGACATGTTATTTGAGGCACTACATACATAAATGAGTAGTAATACAGTAAAATCTTGTGATAACTGTCCTGAAAGAACGTGAATTCAGTTACCATGCCAATGAAGAATAGCTCTAGTTTTTTAAAGAGGTGATGGAGGTAGGGGAGGCAAATAGGACACCAAGGTTCTGATCCTCTGTGGAGGAGGGGAAGATTGGTACAAAAAAGGAAGGCAAGTCCTTGCAAAATGAGCAAGTAAAAGGCAGATCCCCAAAGTTCATGTTGGGCCTATGAAACAGGCACCAACTAACCAGGAGGTCCCCAGATTGCTGCCATTGTCCAGGAAGTCCCAGGCAGCCACAGGACCCATGATCATCCTCATGAGTATTTAAGTTGGAGCAGACAACTGCTACAAAATAATGCCCAAGTGACCTGGGTCCACTTGGGTTTGGATTGTGTAGCTGGACTCCTGGACCTCTTGGCTGCTAGCTGGACAACATTACAAGGCTTCACTCTGTTTATTCTGAAATAACACAACCCTACATTTAAGATAACTGAATTTTTTTCGATTTGAATTATTACAATATGGCAGAGTTTTAATGTTTCCTAAAATGTCCTAAAAGTCAACATATATAAGAATCTATAGGAAAATAAGCTGTTGTTCCTAATTATGTTGTATACTTTATTGACTTTGGTTTTGTATTAAGGAGCTATTCAATGTTCTTAACATCCAGTATGGTACAGGTCTCAGCCAATCAGAACTGACCTATCAGGGCAGATTCTGTTCTGCCTGCTACATCGGTGGGTACCAGCTGAACATCAGCCTGGCATTTGGGAAAGAAATACAAAAAAACCCAAAAACCTCAGCTTTCTCTTCACTACTCCCTACTCCCGTTCTTTTCCTTTGAAACCACATCAAGCCCCTGAGTAAGCACTCCTGTAGAGAAGTGAGAGACGTGCATTCACTGGGTGACGGGAAAGGCCAGTGGCACCTATTCCCACACAAGTCCCACGTCTACTGGGCTGTTAGACCATTTTCCCACTGAACCTCTAAAAGGGAGATTCACTAATGAGTTGGGTCTGCAGCTGTGGCTGCTCCTTTTTTCACATCAGAGAGATTTCATATCCAAACCACACTTCTGAACATTTTCCATTTAAGTGTAAATACTGCCTTTCAATCACCATCTCACACAGAAGCCTGAGAAGCTATGATTAAAGATAAGCAGAGGTTGTCCAAGATGGTGGCATATAAAGGTTAAAAAAAAGTCTCATAATGCTTCCTATTCTACAAAAAAGGGAAAGGTTAATTCCAGTAATTTCAGTAATCTTGGGATTTTATGAAGGTAATACTGCCTTTTTTTTGGGCTTGTTTGAAACATGTTTTGCAGGCCTGTGATCTTCCCTCACGAGGAAGGGTAGACTGGTGTATCTCGTGATACCCAAAACACAAGGCCTTGCTGGGAAACAGCGGGAAAAGGTCAGGCTATTACTTTGCAAAGAGAAGCAGACTTTTTGTAAAAGTCATGTAACAGGTTACAGGCCAAGAACACGAGGGAGGTTGTCTTATAGGAGCTAGTAAGCATGCTCACAAGATCAGGAAGGCATGTGCTGGAGATCAGAAGGCCAGTATGTGCACTCACACACCTCACTTGTGCCTAGAAGGCAGACTCTGTGACTAGACAAGAAAGCAAAATAATTTGAAAGGGGCAGATTAATATCTTCCCTCTGTTTTCAAGGAGGAGTCTGCTAGGGTTCTTAGGAAGGGAAAACAGGTCCACTGCTATGATTTTAAGGTCTTTTCTTCTTCTTTTATTAAAAAAAAATCTAGCTTAGAACTCAGCAAAAAAGTGTCTCAGGGTAGCCTTGGACTACAGTTAGAAAAACACGTGAAAATATATTTTAGAGCTTTTCAAGTATCTTTAAAACACTCCCTAATTTTTTCCTTTGTGTGACAGGATATGTTCAGGCAAGTTAATGTCTTGAGTCTCCCTTTAATCCTTAAGAAAAACTCTAGGACTTCTAAAGCACACCTGGTGGTTAAAAACACTGAACATAAAACACGGGCATTAGTAGTGACGGTGGCTGGTAATTGAAGAGAGTCATGAATTGGGAAGCTTTGTGGGTGTACATATTAACATATTTGAAAGAAGCTTAAAATTGGCAGCCTTGTTAAAATGATAACAACCATAAAAGTGTTGATTGAAGATGTTACTAACTTACAATCAATATTAATCTTACCTTCTTTTTTCCTGTCATATTCCATTCTTTTAGAACTTGAATTGCACTACCTAGACAAAGACAAAGAATTTTCAACACGCATTCACATAATAAAACACCACACAAAATTCATCTCAGTCTTTCCATCTTGGTAGCAATTTTTTCTTGGCTTTTTCATTTGTTTTGATACATCTTACCTTAATAAAAATGCCAGTTTCATGTTTTATTTCCAGATTTTCATTTAATTCACCGCATGATCTTGGTTTTATAAAACAATGTTAAGCCCCACTACATCTGCTTGCTTTTTTTTATCATCAAGTTATCTTAGAGAAAATGAAATCTATCTTAAGAATTTTCTAGTAGCTTCACTGCCATTGCCATAGGTAGAATTAAAATTGCTCTGTTTGATATATGAATCAAAATACCTATAATCTTCTGGACCAAACATGGGGTTTGAATATTATTAACCATGAGAATTATAGTTTTTTGTTTGGTCATTCCTGCTCTTTTCTGCCTCTACTCAGTATGTTCACAACTTGCAGGGTGATAGGAAGACAGATCATCTGATGTTAGTTTTGCTCTCATCACTGTGGATAGGCATGGGATGTGGTCTTTGTAAGGCTTCCACTTTGAAGCAACAAGAGTTCATCAAGTGACAACTGAGTCCCAGGTTCTGTCAGTGCCATTCACATACAAATGTGGAACTGCACAGACTCAGAGGAAAAGCCTAACCTGATTATGTTATACAATTTTTTAAAGGAATGTTTGCCATTGGTCAGCTACAGTTAACTGTTTCCACATTGTCTAACAAAGTCCTTTTACCCATTCCAACTGTGCTGGGGGTAATGTCAACAACAACTTATTGGTAGAGTACACCAGTTGTTTTCTTATAAACAGGTACTTCTAAAAGAGTAGCTCTTTAATATATTCTTTTAACAATTATAAGCATTCTCACACAATCTCATTATACTAATAGTTCTCTACAATGAGAATGTTGGCCAAACAAAGATAAACTTCAGCCTGGTATTTACAACAAATTTCAAATTAGTAGGGTCCCAATTATTGAGTTTACTGTCACTGTGGATAAGTAGAGGCCATATTGCTTTGACTAATGTTTAGACAGGCTAATCCTCTCTATTCCAGTTCGATGCCCCTCTTAGGCTTTTTGAGTTACATGTACTTGAAATAATAAGACTGCACGTAAAAGTAAGCTATAATTCAGACTTTTTATTAACTGGCTGGTTTTTCTCTAACTCGCCTAGAGAATTAATGTTTCACAGTATTTTCTTTTCGAAGAACTCTAGGAAGTCACTTTCATTAGGTTTCTTGGTTAAGTCATGCCAGTGGCTAACAACCATTAGGGCAGTCCTTACTCGTAGCTAAACTTTAGCCTTATGAATTAAATTTTAAAAAGTTAAATATCGTTCTTTTTAAACAGAGGAAGAAGGTGAGTTGCCTCCTGTTTTTAATTGCAATGTTCAACTATTCCTGTAGTTTTCATATTTTGACATAAATTCTATTTGCAATTTAAACAATGAGCTTTTAGAGAGTAATTCTGAAGAAAAAAATACCCATGTTTACAGAGAATTTTGAAACTGTTATTATTAAAGTTTAATTACAGCGAAACTGCTTGAAGTTTTTTAAGCCACTTGGAAATGGTGCTTTTAATATGCCTTGTGATTCTTAACAAATATTTTTGACACTCAGTGGTTTTTTTAAACAAGTTGTCCGATTGGTCCCCAACCAAAATGACATAAGGTTTCTCAGAGATCAATGAGGTTTTTTTTTTTAAAATGAGACCTCAACAGACAAGGTGAAAGTTTCAAGAAGGACAGGCAAGATGCTCTATTTAAATACAAACAAATTTGATGACAGTGTGTCAGTTACTGAGCATCTGTGCATTTCATCAGGGTCACTCTGTGGAGGCCTCAATCCAAGTGAGGGCGGGGAGGAAAGAAGATAAGAACCTCTTTCCTTTCCTAAGGCTTTTTTCCCCCATGAAAGTGATGCTTCAAGTAAAACCTGAAAAGAGTTTATCTGAGTCAGGATGTGCATATTTCCTTTTTTTTTTTTTTTTCCTTGAGTCAAATTGCACTGAATGCTACAGAATTGAATTAATGTTGCTCTCTCTACTATTTGTTTCTTATGACTAAAGATTGTATATCTGCTAATCCATGAATCAGGGAAAAACAGAAAAGCTATGCAGTATGGGTCTGCTTGTAAGTCTATTTTGAATGATAATCATTTTTTAATTCAATTAAGACCCTACACCTTGGCTGCAGACCTCAGAGTGTGAGCATAATGCTTGGTTCCAAGGTCTTGCCAGAAATGCAATTATACTTGCAGAAACTTAGGAAAATTATTCTACTCCTAGGAACACAAGCAAATCAAACCACCCTTAACAAATAAAGTGTAAATAGGATATAACTGAGAAACGTGCTGGTAAGTCTTCCCTGACCTTATTTGTCAGATTAGGTTTAGCTAGTCCGTATTTACAAAATAGAAACTAATACCAGGACAGAAGACATATGCTAACCTAGGACAGGTGGGAGATCTTTGTTCACAAATGGAACTTGTTTAATTTTATTAGGAGAGGAGAATTTCCCCATATGTTACAGGAAATATTTATAGGATATACATATTCCTGAGACTTGAGATTCTATAACATCACTGGCAATGGGCTGTTTAAAAAACAATTTTTTTAAGAAAACAAAAAAGGTTCTAGAAGTAGACAAGATGAACTGATATTCTGATTAATTAGACAAACTCAGAATCCTAAACTAAGGAAATTAAAGAATAAACCAGCCCTCTCAGTCTACAAAAGCATTAAATTCAAGGATTCCATTCATGAAGCCAAGTCGAATTATCCTGGTTGATGAGAAGACTGTCGAGATTAAGAATAAAGTACATTATCCTCCATTCACAAGGACACCATCAAATAAAGGGCACGTTTCATAAACTGGAATGGCTGGTCGACAATGGAATTAGTAGCATTATTTAGAAACTATCTCCAGTCATTTTTTATAATGACAAAAAAACCTTTAAACTCTGCTCTTATTGTGTATGTATGTGTGTTTTTAAAGCCTAACATATTTTTATGAGAATTACAGTATTAGTAACTAATTGGTATTCAATGCATTTAAGGGAAAACATACAGAATACATGGAATATTTAGAATCTAACGCTCTCAGGTTCAGGGGACATGTAATCTTACCATCCACGAAAGCTTGCACTGCTTTATCTACATTAAAATCAAACTGCTGTAGCACCAGCACTATTTCATTATTGCTTTTGTTGGGAACAACTGATCGAACTGCATAGATCTGTAAATGAAAAGAAAGGAAAATGAAATGTAAACACTTGAAATACTTTTCATCCATGAATTTCTCACTGGATAGAATTCTAACTGTTAGAAAGGCCTTGAAAAGCCAACTAACTAATCTATCTCCTTGCCATCAAGCATACTCAAGGCATTTCAGACCAGTGAAAATTCATCCTTATAATCGCCTCGGTACCCTCTTTATTGTGTACACATTTCCACAAAGATCCCCTTGTTAGGACTTTAATAACAAGTGTGAAAAGCCAACTCTGGTTTAGTGATCTACCCTCCTCCAAGGTTCCAGATGCACACAAGATGTGTTTTCAGTGAGGACACAGATGTTTTCCATCTCAGGCTCTTCCTCCACTGGCTGGGGGGCGTGGGCGGGGGGAGGTATCTTTGGAAAACATGCAGAAATAGCCTCATGCCTCAGCTTCTCTTATCTATCTGCACAGTGGAAACAGTCATCTCAAGGCTCACACACGTGTGTTGTGAAATTCCATTAGTGTTTATAGAGATATAGAAATGTGTGGCATTGTATTTTTGAAATGGCAGTCTGAACCATAATACAGAAAATGTTCCCAAGCACACTTCTGAAAACCAAACATTTAAAACATAGTAAAAGTTAAATACATACTCGTATATGAGAACGAAAAATTTCAACAGATTAGGCTGACATTCAATTTTTAATGACCTATACGTATTTCTTAGTCAAATTCAGCACATATTCTTTCTTCTGACTTACTAGAAAGAACTGATCTATATCTCACAGAACTTGCAATTGCAATAGGATGCTCTATCTACTTTAGCAAAATCTGGCTCGCCCAGCTTTCTATCAAGGGGATTACTGTAGCCGCAACTGACAAATACTCAAGTACTGCATGGTACAAAGATAAGTGGCATTTGCAATGATCATCATGAAAGCACTGTACAATTTTTACATGCTTTCATCAGTGGTGAATTATGACCAGTTGAGTTTGAGAGCTAACTGCAGTTTGTTGTAATCAGATTCATGGCATATGTATTATATGGGTATGGTATGTGTAATGTGACTATTAACCAGAACATTTAATTAAGCAGTATAGCCTATTTCTAATTATGTTAGAAAACAGACAGCCCTCACCATATAGATCTGTGTACCAGAGTATTTAGATTGTAATGAGAAAACAGCACAAGCCATGGGTATATGGCTTGTAGAGGTTCTGACACTATAGATCAGAAAGCTGGTTTTGAATCTTAACACTCATAAATACTAACTGTGTGGGGTTTACTGAGGGCTCTAATACAATATATGTATTTGACTCAAGAGTTCTTTGATTTACTTTTCTATTCCCACATTTTATGGTTCTTCGTTTTTCTAGCCTCCATATTAAAAACAATAACTTCTTCAAATCTAAGTTCTCTCTCACTTTTTCTCTTTTCCCTCTTTTAAAACCCATTCAATATGTTTTGAATGCCTATTGTGTGACAAGGCACCAAAGTTCCTGGAATTTATAGACTCGAGAGAAATATACACAATGATCTAATTATCGCACAAATATATACTTATACGCTGAAATAAAAGCTATAAAATTATAAGACAGGGAGACTTGCCTTTACATAGATATGCTGAAACCTGAAGGACAAGTGAGCAGAGATGAGTGGGAGGTAAGCGGGAAGGCACTGTAGGCAGAGGAACAGCATGAAACAGGAGCAAGGCACAGATGGAGGCAGTGTCTGGAGGTAAGGAGGGAGGGAGACAGACGGTGTCGCTTCTAGAGTGTAAGATGGGGCCAGAAGTGGGCAGGAACCAGATCACGTGGGGCCTACAGGTTGTGCAAAGGATTTAGGTCTTGTGGTCATTACTCAACCATCCTTTTGTAAAGTTGTCTGTTCTTATTCATTGATTGTGTTAGATAGCTCTATATCTATATCTATCTAGATCTATATCTACATCTATAGCTACAGCTACATCTATAAAACACTATATAAGTTAAGGTGTTGATTTGATACTTAAATATTGCAAAATGATTACTACCATAGCATTAGCTAACATTGCCACCCCATAACATAATTATCATTTCTTTTCAAAGTCTACTCTCAACAACTTTCAAGTACATAATACAGTATTACCTACATTCACCATGCTATACATTAGATCCTCAGAACTTGTTAATCTTATAACTGTAAGTTTGCACCCTTTGACCAATAGCTCCCTATTTCCCTCTCTTTTTAAAAGAAAGCCAATATGGGGAGAAAGAAAAACCAAGAACAAAAACACATTTGCATCCAACCCAGGCAAGTCATTAATAGTGTGTGTCCAACAATAAATATGATGGCCTTGCAGTTACCAGTGCATTGGAGTTATGTTTAACATTACACGTTACCCTTCTAATGTAGTTCTTTCACATAAAATTCTAGCATTCAAGCCACCACAGTTGGTTAGTATAAAAAGTTTCTTAAATGACTATATCAGCCATGTCCTTGTAAATAATACAATGCTTTGTTATTAATTACATTAACTACATTTTACAGTTGACCCTTAACAACACAGGTTTGAACTGTGTAGGTCCATTTATAAGATTTTTTTTCAATAATTACTGTAAATGTGATTTTCTGAGTAACATTTTCTTTTTTCTAGCTTACTTTATTGTAAGGATAAATATATAATACATATAACATACAAAATGTGGGTTAACTGTTTATGTTATCAGTAAGGCTTCTAGTCAATAGTAGGCTGTCAGTACCTAAGTTTTTGGGGGAGTCAAAAGTTATATATGAATTTTTGACTGCTTGGGGGTCAGCACCCCTAATCCCTGCATTGTTCAAGGGTCAACTGTAGTTACATTAGACCAGAGTTTTCAATCTACAGCAGAACTGTGATCAGTAAAGACCAAGAATCATGGAATAAAACAAACTAACTGTTCTACGTGTTTGCCGTTTCTCCCCTGTAAAACATAATACATTTTATTATGCTGAGGCAAAATGTAGTATAAACCATGGTTTATACAGGCATGTTCTTTTTAGACATTTCTACTACTCCTGCCTATCTCTCTTTAAATGAAAAACAAAATACAACTATGGTCAGATATAGTATACATCTATCCTTGTCATTTTATGTAATAAATATATCCTAGCTCTGAGTGTATCCTTAGAAAACTGCCAATAACTGAGTTATGATATCAAATCTAACTATCAATATTGCATACATTTCCCAGAGAAATATAATTAAGACAGGGATGTCAAGGTTTAAAAAATGAGAAAAAAAGAGGATAAAATAATTACTGCCTATTCTGAGGTACTCCACAGTAATGTTGAATTCTAGTGAATTTCTGGGCGAAGCTCTGTTTCTGCTTTAATCGGTGGGCTTAGCTAATGTTAGAAAGTAGTATTGTTTCTCCACTTTCTTATTTATATTCACTACATTTATTTTCCTACGAAAATGTCTTTGAGATAGATGGAGAAATCATGTGCAGTCATATGTGTGCATCAAAATGCAGGAACCTAAACATTTAAAGTGTGTGTGTACACACACACACACACACACAGAGGAACCTCACAGTGTCACTATTGATGATGCAGCAGTCATAAGGGGTCTAAGCATTTATATCTCAAAAAGACCTCAGTATGAAATAGCTTTAAATATAAGGAAGGGATGAAACAGGCGGTGTTAGAGGGAAGCTGTATTGAAAGGCTGCCTTTGCATTTGGAAATGAAGCTTGGGGAGGAATGAATCAATCGATGCGTGACTAATGGTAGTTTGCATATGGGGACCTCATAAAATTCACGCCTGCAGAGGCTGTTTCTGTCGCTGCTTGATACACCGCCTTTACTTTGCCGCCACAGCCCAGGCCGATGTGCCTGCTGCTGCAGCTTCCCGTGAAAGCCCACTGTTTGAAGCTGCACTTGCCTGCGTCCCATAAGGGTTCTCATGCTACAGAGTGGTCCAGGAGGGCCAACCAGGCAGCAGCGCAGGCTGTTGGGTGACAATCAGACCGCTAGTGAGCAGTTCATTTAGCAACTACTTTACCGTTCCCAAATCGCGTTCCCCTGTTTTGCTTCCCTAATTTAAAACTTGTTTTGGCAAATTCCATTTGCTATTGAGAAATCTGCCTTTTGCATCTCAAACATTGTTTTGATTTAACCTTCAGCGTTTTAATCTCCCCATCCCTCTTCTCTCTGGCTTTCTATCTAGCTGTGCAGGTTTTGCCCATTCTGCTGCAGGCCCGCCCCGATGGCATTTCGCCCACACTAAGCAGTGAGGCAGCGTGGCTTTCACAAGCTGCGTGATTTCGGCTTCCTACATTAACTTACCTCCTCTGTACCTGAGTTGTCTCATTTAAGAGCTGTTTGCAGATTTGCACATTCACACTGTGCAATTTTTTGAGCTTGTCTGTGATGACTCTTTAGAAATCCTTTTTGGCTTACTGATGAGTTATTTAGACTACGTCTGAGTTTCAAAAATGGTTCTGACCAAAGTTTTCAGTCCACTACACAGCTGTGTGATCAGTAAAGACCCAGGCTTATCAAATAAACATAAAATCACCGCTCTCTCTGCTTCCAGTCTCTCCCCTGCTAATTCATGCTGAGGCTGCTGCCAGACTGCTCTCCTGGAAGTATAATCGTGACCATTTTACTGCACGCACTCCTTAAGGATAAATTTAAATCTCGACAACCTAGCTAGCATTCATGGCCGTCAGCAATTGGGCTCCAACCTGCTTTTCCAGACGCCCCTCTTGTGTTGCCCTTTACGGACAAATGCAAGCCCAGTGTTAGCCTCTCACCTCCCTGTGCGTTTGGCCTTTGACCCGAGATGTGTCTGCTTGTCCGAACCTTACATTCCAGCTGAGATGCCATGTGTTCTATGAAGTCCTCCCCCACCCCTGCCAGGAGTCATCCCTGCCTCCTTTCAATTCCCATAGCCCTTAAGAGTAGGTGTCTCTTAACACTTACCACCTTCTACTCTATATCCTAAGTGTTTGTGTGCATGCTGTGTCGACTAGATGGTAAATGGCATAAGGGTAGAAGCCTCCTCTCAGATATTTTTGCATAATCACCACGCCCACCCCAACTGACTAATAATGTGCATGTAGTAGGTATTTCATAACTATTTGTTGAATGAGAGAATGCCAATTTGTAGGTGTACCAGGCTGCTGTTTTGAGTCAAAGGAATATTCTACCAGGGTGTTTGGACCATCCCATCACTCTGCATTTACCATCCACAACAACAGGGGTGAGTCTTAGTTGGCTGTGATGTGACCTAAACATTACATGGGTAGGGAGAATACACATATGTTCTTTAAATCTCAATAACAGAAGTGGAAAAAACATTTATAGCTCGATAATTTGACTTTATGATAAGGTACTCACCATAAGTATTTTAAGACCATGTATTCAGCAACTGCTTTACCTTTCCCAAGTATTTCAAAAACATGAAATAACATAGTAACTGCCTGTCCTTCCGAAGCTCAGCCTAGCAGACAGATATCAGTTGAGCCCCTACTAAATGACAAGCACTGAGGACATGAAGGGGAACCAGATCCAGTTCCTCCCCTAAGAGGGACAGTGTAGTACTGGAGCCAGAATCATCTGTACCCGAAAGTGAGTAAAAACACTGAGCTGTCTTTAAGACCAAGGTGCTGTGGTACTACAGAGAAGGGAGCATTAAGTTGGCAAGAGGAGGAGAGAATACTTTATAGAGGAGACAGCCAAATGTCATGGAAGGAACTTTGGAATTAAACACACCTATGTTTTCATCTTGGCTCTGCTATGTGCTAGCTGTATGACCTTGGATGAACTGCTTAAATTGTTGAAACTTGGTTCTGTAGCTGTAAAATGAGGATATTACCTGCTAGAATCTCCATAAAAATGAAAAGAGAGGATGCATGTAAAGTGTCTGATGTAGAATTTAGCATATATTACCTGCTCAATAAATTTTAAAAAGGAAAGGGTGGAAGGATTTATACTGGGTCACAAAAGAAAAGGGTCTCTCTAGGTGTTCAGGCTGCCATGTCTTTGCAATTGAGAGAATATGTGGCTAGAGTGTTTGCCAAGACTTAGTTGGGTGAGACTGCTCTGTGTACCATCCTACTTAAGAGCCTTCCTCCACAGCCTCGCTGAGCGGTCAACGGGCCCAAGGGTCTTTCCTTCGCCTCCCTCTCCTGCAAGCTGACTAGTACCATAAGGAAACCCGTCTCGAGGGTGACTAACAACAAGTGGTGTTGTTTTTTTCTCTCTCTCATTCTTTCATTTTCTTAATCCACTAAATGCCTTCTATGATCAGGTACTGTATGAGTGGCTGGATAGAGTAGTAACAAAACAGACATGGTCACTACCAAACCTAGAGAGGAAAACAGATATAAACACATAAATTAAAATATCTATAATTGCAGCTCATGCTATGAGAGTGATATGAAGGAAGCAATCAGAATACAGTGACAATGTTCACAGTGGTCAGGAAGTAGCCCGGCTGAAAAGGCCAGGTGGGCCAAGCAGATCCTCGGCCTTGGGGGTTTAGACTACTGAACACAAAGGGAGAAAACAGGGGCATTTGGGAGCTGCCTCACCTGCTTCTTCAACGTTTCCTAAGTCCCATGAGACCCTACCAGCCCTTTATAATAACCTCTTTTTTTTTTTTTTTACCTGAACTAGTTTGAAAGGGTTTCATTTTCTAGAACAAGTAGTGAGTGCCTAGTGGCAACATCAGTAGCTAGGGCTGAAAATAAAGACAATAAAGT